GCCTAACCAATGTCCTGTACAATTACAACATGACCTCCCAACTCCTATACTGAATGCACTGACAAATAAAGGCAACCATACCAAATACCTTCTTCACTATCCCGTCTACCTGTGACTCTACTTTCAAGGAAATATAAACCTGCACTTCAAGGTCTCTTTGTTCAGCAACACTCCCCAGCTTTTTCACACAGAGGGTGGTTCATATGTAAAATGACCTGCCAGGGGTAGTAGAAGATGCAGGTACAGTTACAACATGTAAAAGACATTTGGATAGGTACATGAATAGGAAAGGTGTAGAGGGATATGGGGCCAACAAATGGGACTAGTTTAGTTTTGGAAACCTGGTCGGCATGGATGAGTTGGACCCAGGGTCTGTTTCCGTGTTGTATAACTCCCTGACTTCATGAAAAACGAAAGGAAAACATCTGTGATTACTTCAGCCACTTGTAAATTGGCATTTGACAAATTAAAGAGGTAAATGCATGGATCAAAGACCTGTGTGAGAAGTGGGTTCCAGTTAATGCGGCATTGGCACTTCTAGAGGGGTAAGTCAGAACTCTACCGATAGACGGTCTCCACTTGAAACACACCGAGGCCATTGCTTTTGCCAACCATATAATTCAGGAAGTAGAGATGACTTTAACCTTAAGAGTAGGAGCAAGGGAACAAATTTCAGAGGATTTGGTAAATCATAACATAGAATCAAGACCAAAAACAATGCTTCAATACAGGAAATAATACACAGTTTGTAACAGTAAGGGATACGGAGTATGACCTGCTTTCTCGAGGGCAAATAGGGATGAGCAATAAATGTTGGACCAGCCAGTGATGCCCACACCCCCCCATGAACTAACAAAGAAAACAGCAAAATAACAGATAAGACTAGAAGTTATAGAAAGAGTAAGAATATAAAACCAAAGCAATCTGTGCATGAATGTGCACAGCATTCAGAAATTTCTGAAATGTCATACTGGTCTCAAAATATCAATTTTGTTCCTCTCGCCACAGATGCTGCCAAACCTGCTGAATTTCTCCAGCATTTTCTCTTTCTTAAATTTCCAGCATCTGCAGAAATCTGGATTGGTCTTTACATGTTATTAAGGATACAAGTAATGTATCAGCACCAGCAATAAATCAGGAGATGGACAGGAGGCTGAAAGTCAGGAAATTCAGTCACCAGAGAAGCAGTACTGAGTAAGTAAGGAACTCAGGGAGTTAGCAAGCACCCAGGTCATTATAGACATCATCTTAGAGCCTAGAAACCAGTAGTCAGTAAGATCGTTGATATATACCCCCTTGATTTGGGGATGGTGCGATCAGCCTAGAAACTATTGGCCAGTAAGCTTAACATCTGACAGTGAAAATATTAGAAGGTATTATTGAAGACATTATAACAGGGCACTTAGGTAAGTTAAAGGTAATCAGACAAAGTCAACATTGCTTTGTCAAAGAAAGAATATGTTTTAATCAATGCAGTGGATTCTTTGAGGTGGTAATATGTGTGGATATGAGGAGCTACGCAATTTAGATTTCTAGAAGGCATTTGCTAAAATGCCCAAACAAATATTATTGTGAAAAATAAAGCTCAAGGGGTTGCAGCATATTGGTCTAGATTAAAGTTGAGCTGGATGACAGGAAATGGAGAGTATGCATGAACCTTTATCAGGTTGACAAAATGAAATGAATGATGCACCACAGGGATTAGTGCTGGGACCTCAGCAATTAGGCATTTATATAAATGACTTGGATGAAGGGATGGAAGTGGTTGCTAAATGTGCTGGTTACATAAAGATAACTAGAAAATTAAGTTGAGAGAGGAATTAGGATACTACAGAGGGAAACAGACAGGTTAAGTGATTGGGCAAAGATCTGACAATTGGTGTATAATGTGGGAATGTAACATTGTTCAATTTGGCAGGAAGAATGAAAGAAAGTGTTTTATCTAAATAGTGTGAAATTATAGAGCTCTGAGTTGCAGAGGGATTTCGGTGAGCTATTGTATGAATTATAAAAGATTAGTTTCCAGGTCTAACAGATAATGAGGAAATCTAATACCATAGTATCACATATCACAAGAGGAAGCAAACACAAAACTAGGGAGGTTTTGCTTCAATTATACCGAGCACTGGTATGACCACATCTGCAGTACTGTGTACAACATTGGTCACATTATTTAAGGATGTAAATGCACTAAAAGCAGTTCTGTGAAGCTTTACTGGACTAATACCCGAAATTATTAATAAATAATTATATTTCATTATCTTCAAATAGATGGTCTTGTGAAGAAAGCTTGGGCATAGAAGATCCTGAACATTCTTGACAAGATGTTTCTTTTTACGAAAGAAGGAGTGTTTAACAATCGGAGGTCACCCATTGAAAACAGAGATAGTGATTTTCTTTCCTCTCGGAGGTTGGACACTCTTTACAACTATCTTCCTGAAAAGTTGGAATCAGAGTCTTTGAACATTTCATGGCAGAGGTAGAAAGATTCTTTTTAATCAAAGGGATGAGTGGTTATCAAATGTAGGCAAGAATGATGAGATTTGAGGCAACAATCAGATCAGTCATGATATTTTTGAATGGCAGAGGAGACATGAGGGGTTGAATGGTCAACTCCTGCTTCTTGATTGTAATGAAATGAGGTTGTGTTAATCACCTCCAATAACGGCCAAATAGCTCCTGTTTCTTAAGTGTCTTGAGTTATCCAGCATTCTCAGACAGGTGACAGGTTCTCATGTCTCTGCTCATCTTACACAGTAACTATCTGTTAAAAATACCCAAAGGAAGATTATTCAATTCAATGTGTCTACTCGTTTTTGTTTCGTTTGAATTATATTAGCAATTCACTCCTTAGTTATTGACAACCTGGATTCCACCACTCCCTAGTGAAGGGAATTATCACAATGCCTGTTATTAAAATAAAAGAAAGCAAAATATAATACACGAATATCCAGTTACCAAATGCCAAAAGCATTACCATTTCTTATTGTTTATCTCAAGTCCAGCTCAGGTGTAATTGGTCAGTAATTGCAGAAGTTAGATTCCAAGCGTGCTCTAATGCAGAAGATCTGTTTGGTGTTGAATGAACCAAATTGCATTGCCACCTGGCACTCTTCAGCATTGCAATATAATGAGACAACAACACCGCTCAACATGAGAGCCACTCCTTGCTCTCGCTGAGCTGAAGATGAAATCTAAATCCCTGCCAACTTGGTCATAAGAGAGTTTCAACCTTCAGTGCACACGCCAAAAACTTACAGCCAGCAGGGAAAGTGCAGAATTTGGAACTAAAAGGTACAATCCACAGCTTTGAAACAAACGTATACACATGAAGCTAATGGTGACATGGAGACACGTGCAGCCTAGATGATTGAATTGTGGAAAATCAAAATTGTAAATGGTATAAGGAGATTCCTACTGATTCAAAGCCCGAGAAATCCAATGGAGTATTTTGAGTCTTTACATTTTGAGGTGTTCATTTTTGTCCAGTAGTGCACTGGTTAACATGTTGCAAGCTCATTTATATTAAACATTGGTTCAATGACTACATTAAAATGCCACAGTAATGTGTCTTTAATGAAAACAGATAATATAGAATAAGTCACTTTGTATTTTTGAAAAGAAAACCACACGCTCCAAAAATTCAAGTAGATGCCTTTTCCCTCAACCAAAATACTGTTTCATATTTTTCACATGAACAATCGCATCATTCATGTGATTAGACTTTAAAGGGAAATTAAATGCAGAAACTTGCAGCACAAAGATAAATTAAATAAAATGGACAGCACAGAAGCACCCAAATCCAATTAACAGGCCTAGTGATCTGGCCTTGGGCCAACCTGCTGCTTTTTTTTATTGTAACATAAAGACGACACTGGGTCTGCACATCCCCCTTTGTTTTAAGGGATGCATAAACAACGAAAAAAATTGCAGCATAGAACACAATTTCAACAGGACCAACAACAAAACTTATGAAACAAAATCAAGATACCATTATGTGCATCAAAGACATTGTTTCCGGCTGTATTGACTATTCACAATAATCCTGAAATGTAATGAACACACCAAATGCTCCTTCTCCACAGCCACCTGCATAATGTAAATCCAGTGGAATAGAAGCAGACAGGCATTCGCATTGATCTCTCTCACTCTCTGATGTGCTGGACTTGTAAACTGGCATCTTGTCATGGCCTTGGGGCAGACCACAATTAAGCGGGCAATCGATTTGCACATCCCTTCCCTTACAGGAACCTTGAATTCTTAATTTGGTCTGTTGAATATTTCAATCAACATTTCTGGTGCTTTATTTCATTGAAAAAAAAACATTTTAAGATTATCTATAAACACTTGGAAAAACAGAAATATTATTTGTTTCCAGCTCAGCGATGCATGCTATTGAGTAACAATCAATCAACGGGCATGCAGCCGCAAAGGCTGTAATGTCCACAGGAATCAGACACTGACCACCTTGTGCACACAAGCATTTAAAATTATTCATATGCTCAGACCAGTTAAGAAGAAAACCTCAATGCTGCTATATTCAATACAACTGGAGTTTATACAAGAGGACCACTGCACATTCGCTGCTGCTCTCCTCGCGTCAGTGAACAGCACTCCCAACTTAAGAAATGCATTTATGCTTCAAAGGCGCAAGTCCTTTGATGCAGCTCAGTTGCTAATCTTTCCAACCAGTTTCACCAAATTTGAAACACTGCAGTTTCCATGGACACGGCACTACTTCCTGAGATTTTCAATCGATTTCTTTGAATCACTTCACATCAGACCCTAGTGAAAAAAGCATTTCAATGGGACAGCCTTAAAGCAGCATTTTCCATTTCAAGTAGCGAGTTCATCCACACTGCTTATCATTTACATAAATAACATGACACCATGCAATCTGTACAGTCAGTACTCTCATTAAAATAGCATGAAGGACACTTGATTCTAAATATTCCCAAAAGGATATCTTGTTTGGCAGAGAAAAGTGCCCAGATACTGACCTCTTTTTTCTGAGTGCACAGTGGTTTCTATTTGCTCTAAAAGAAGAAACATAAAGATTACATTTATATGGAAAATTTGTTTTCAGAATTAGTGGAGAGCTTGTGTTTGACCTTAAGTGGTAGGGATATACTGCCATCTGCTGGGAAAGGGATGATACTACCCAACATAAAACACAATTAAAACTGAATACAATCCGGTCTTTAATCCCCTTATAATACATCATTTTCATATCAATGCCAAAAATGTTAGATAAACAAGTCTGAAACTATGGACCTAATTTATAATCCTGGTGTATTCACATATACATGTCTGCAAATGGGAAATCACAGAATAAAAATGATGTGACTTCAAATAAAATTATAAATATAAACCAACATACAGGAAAAGAAGATGTGCTGCTGACTTACTCCATCATGATACTGACTTTATTTTATCAATTAAAATGAGATTTTTTCAACTCCTTCCACTTGTCAATAATGTGTTTTTAGATTGTTCATTTATTTCACTATTTTTCTTTGTTCATTCCTTTTTTTCAGATATTGTTTCCCATCATGTGGTTCTCAATGTCCTTTAGGGAAGGAAACTGCCATCCTTACCCAGTTTGGCCTACATGTGACTCCAGACCCACAACAATGTGGTTGACTCTTAACTGCCCCTCTGGGCAATTAGGGATGGGCAATAAATGCTGCCGAGCCAGCGACACCCTCAGCCCATGAACGAATAAAGAAAAAAGACTCTAAATTAATCTGACATCCTTAATCTTTTTCCTGCCACCATTACAGTATCTCATCATCCCTAGAATTTTATTTCCCACTTTCAATATTAATACCACTCTTGTTAATCATTGTGTTCTTTGTTTAACTCTTTTACATAACCTCTTTCATTTACTTCCTATACTGCCATTTCCCTATATTCTCTGTTATGTTAGCTGACATCTTTGAAATTTCTTAAGCTTTATCTTTCTCCAGATAGACAATCAAGCCTTGGAATTTCCTGTTCTTGCCTTCTCTATCTTTCATCTCTGTGTCTGTGAACTGGCCAATATATACACTGCTATCATGACAGGAATGTCACTTCCTAAAAAGAAGCAATCAATAAATTGAATGAGGTGGTGTAAAATAGAGGAACGGAGAATTCAGAAAGTCTTAAAGATGAGGAAATGTTGGAGAAAGGAAAAAAAAAGTTATGTCATATTTAGTGACTAGCGAGACATGTCGTTCCACAGTTCTATCAGTTGACGCTGGTAATCCAGTCAACAGCTCGTTCTGACAATGCAGCAACAGAGCACAGCGTAGATAAATAACTAAAATGGAACGAGGGATTTGGTTTATAAATACTGGAATACATAATTATACGGCAAACTGTGCTTTTATTAACAGAGTAACCAAGGTAATGGATGTCCTTAACAAAGCCAGTTGTCAGCTATATTACAAATGCAGCTCAGGATTTCACTAGCAAAAATCTCCTATGGTGTACAATACTGTGCAAAGTTTAGAGATAAACATCAAGCGGTGATAAGCAATAGCATGTAAAAAGAATGCAATGGCTGACTAAATCAGATTATTAGTGTATATTAGGTCAGTGAAGTGACATTATCAACGATACCATTCACCAAATCATGTGAAAATAGAACGCTGTTCATTCCATCTTGCAATTGCTAAGGAGTATATCACGGTGTGATTGGAGATCACACCAGTTCAGAGAAGAAGGAGAACTTCAAAGATCGTTTGATAGAGACCTATTTATCTCCCAGTGATCAGATTCACAGTTAACTTGGAAAAGAACAAGAAGCAGCTCCCTTGCCCAATTTTAGCTGAGAAATAGTGAGTGTTACAGAAACTATTTATCACAAAGGCAAAAGGAACTAAATTAAAACAAAGCATAACCTGTTCTAAATTCAGCACAAGTATATTGGCCAATGACTGGCCCATTTGACACTGTGTCATGAAATCGCGAGTTAAGGTTTTGTCAATCTTTTTACCTTTGATCTCCTAGTCTGATAGCAGCCCTGTTTGGAAATGCTAAGTGGAAAGGTAACCACTGTTTACAGACAACAGGTTCGGGAAATTGTCAAGGCAACCATCATGATTTTCCTCCCTTGCTTTTGGCAATGACTGATTCATTGAAACCCTGACTATGGGTCAGCATCACAGCCTGTGTGCAGACAGCACAAGGCAAAAGAATGGAAAATAAAAACAAAAATGCAATGAAGGGAAGTGTTGTACTAAAAGAGGGATCAATAATCAATATAAAGAAAGCAAATCAGATTTGTATAATGATAAAAAGTTTCAACCAGTGCTGCTTTCTCACTCATTAAACCGCAGTACACCGTTTTTTTTCCCTTAGATGGTTTCATAACTGAGTGACAGATGATATTGAATGAAAAACTTAACAGGACAAAGAAATGTGGAGGTACTGGGGCTATAATGAGTACATTGTGATTCTTGGAGTGCTATGTTAATGATATAACTCAAAATTAGTTGGTGAGCGGCCCATAATAATTTTTGTTTCAAATGGGATCCCAGGAAAGAACTTCAGGGGTCCTCAAACTGATGTGTGATTGGTATTTTTAAAATTATCTCAAGGGAGGTTGGGGTCACTAGTTAGTCCAGCGCTTGTTGCTCATCCCTAATTGACCTTGAAAAGTAAATGGGTAAACCACCTACTTGAAATCCTGCAGTTCATCTGGTGCAGATACTTCAGAGTGCTGTTAGGTAGGAATTTCCAGGATTGTAACCCAGTGACAGTGAAAGATCAGTGATATAGTTTCAAATCAGGATGGTGTGCGGCTTGGAGGGGAATTGGCAGATGGTGGTGTTCGCATGCACCTTGTCTCTCTAGGGGGTAGACATCACAATTTAAGGAGGGGTTGTTAAAGTCACCCTGACAAAGTGCTGCAGTTCGTCTTGTCAATGATCGACACTGCTGAGATTGTACACCATCAGCTGAGGGATTAAAGTGTTAGATTGGTACCGATGATGCATTTTTCACAGATCACAGAATCCCCACAGTGTGGAAACAGGCCAATTGACCCAACATCCACACTGTCCCTCCGAAGAGCATCCCACCACAACTCATTCCCCTACCCCTGCATTTCTCCATGTCTAACCCACCTAACCTAAACATCCCTGGTCACTATGGACAATTTAGCATGGTCAATCCACCTATCCTGCACATCTTTGGACTGTGGGAAGAAACCGGAGCACCCAAAGGAAACACATGCAGACACAGGGAGAATGTGCAAACTCTGCACAAGCAGTTGCCCGAGGTTGGAATCGAACCCTGGTCCCTCACGCTGTGAGGCAGCAGTGCTGCCCTTTTCTACGCCAGTGCTGAGCTCGTCAAGTGTTGTTTGAACGATTGGAGAATAGTACAGTGTACTTGTTCTTAAAACTGACAAACTGTGGTCACAGATACAAATTAACTTTTGGTAGAAGATGTTCCACAAAATTTTAACATTTTTTAATGTTGGGACCTTCCCGATATGGATATCAAATTAGAGTATGGATTAAACTATTAACATTTTACAACTATTAAACTTGGGAAATAATTAAAATCGGGCATTCACGTATTGAACATGTCAACTTACTATGTGACCAATCAAATAAGCAGAGCCACAAATCCATTCAAGTGGTTGGTTATTTTACATTTGAAATGGGAGCACTGCTTATTCAGATAATACAAGAGAAAGACTGGGAGTGACTGCCCTTGAGATCAAAGCAGCTTTTCACCGAGTAAGTCATCAAAGAGCCCAAATAAAACTGGATTCAACAGAAATTGGGGGGAATTCTCATCAAGATAAGTGGAAAGTATTCCATCACACTCCTGACTTGTGACACATACCTGGTAACAGGATTTGTGAGTCAAGAGGTGAATTACTCACCTCAGAATTACCAGTCTCTGATCTGCCGTTTTAGCTGCAGATTTAAATGGTTGACTCAGGTCAGTTGCTGAGTAACGATGACAATCAGGATTTTGAAGTGTGAGATTCAGCAATGGAAATGCCATTGCATATCAAAGGCAGATGGTTAAGTTTTCTTTTATCGGAAACATTTATTGCCTGATACTTGTTTCACATGAATGGTACTTGTGACTTATCAGCCTATGGTTGAAAGTTGTCCAGATCTTCCTGCATTTGGACATGGACTGCTTCAGTATCTGAGGAGTTGCAAATGATACAGAACGTTGCAGAATCATCAGCAAACATCCCCATTTTAGCCAAATAATAGAAGAAGTTACATTGAGGATGAGGCTGAAAATAGTTGTGTCTTGGAATTTAATCTGAAGAACCCCCATAGTCTTGTTCTTGGATTAAGTTGATTGACATCACAACCATAACTTTTTGCTAGAAATAGCTCTGACCAGTGGAGAACTTCCCCCAAATCCCCCACAAGGGCAGTCACTCCCGGTCTTTCTTTTGCCAAAACATTGAATGTATACAAAAGACGACTAGATATAGCACTTGGGCAAATGGGATCACATGGAGAGAAAGCAGGATTAGGCTGCTGAGTTGGACAATCAGCCATGATAGTGAAAAATGGCGGAGCAGGCTCGAAGGCCGAATGGCTTCCTCTTGCTCCTATCTTCTCTGTTTCTGTGTTTGTCTATTATCTGAGTAAGCAGTGCTCTCATTTTAGACATAAAAATAACCAACCACTTGAATGGATTTGTGGCTCTGCTTATTTGATTGGTCAAATAATAAGTTGACACATTCAATTTGTGAATGCCCAATTTTAATTATTTGCCAAGTATAATAGTTGCAAAATGTTCATATTTTAACCTGCACTCCAATTTAATATCCATATCGGGAAGGTCCCAACACTAAAAAATGTTAAAATTTTGTAGAACATCTTCGACTAAAAGTTAATCTGTACCTGTGACCACAGTTTGTCTGTCGGTTTTAAGAACAAATATACTGTACTATTCTCCAATGATACATGTCACTGTATTTGAGGTCACTATATACTCTCAAATTCTATGAAATGAGCTGAAGCAACTCAGGATGTCATGCTCTTTGTACGAGCATGGATGATGT